CAGCTTTATTTTTCTGTTTGAGTCAATGTTATTGTTCAAAATCAACTTTCATACTCTGAATACTGCTCTTTGGATACTTGGATACTCTTATAAAACAATAACTTCTTATTACTTTACTTTGTACTGTACTTTACCATACTGATATTTACTCAATAATCAGGAAAAGGAATGTTGTGGCAGATAAAGCAGGCTAAACATGGGGCAGAACCAGGTGAAGGGGTCTGTCTGAACTTCACATAGATAATGATGACAATCCAAACACGGTTGGCAACGTTGGACAAAATGAAAAACAACAATTGATGCTACTATTGTTCTCAACGATAAACACGATGATATGCCGCTGCTAGAGCTACAATTCACCACTCTACCAGTGAAATAATAAACTTTACTGCACTGCTCAACAACTATGATAGGATCAAAATGTATGTTATTGATTTCGGATTTGTGTGTATAGTACACATAAATTGACTATATATTACTGTATATATATAAAATTTTTCTGTAATGTAACTTAATATGACATTTATTGTAAATATTTGCCATATAATTAAACTGAACTGAAACTAAACTTTACGTTTTTAAGCATTATACATTTTAGTAAAACATTTTGTGCTCAAGGATGCATCAGGTCCAGAGATACGAATGTTGATGGTTTATTTAGATTTAGGTTATGATTCGGGTTCTTAAAGATCCTAATCCTAATTTTTCTCTGCTATTATTGGATCTAAACCCAAACAGAAGTGTGTAGTTGACCAATAATCTATTCACATGATGCTGTATTTTTCTTTGGTTTTACTAAATTTAGTTTCAACAAGATATTGAACAGACTTCTTATGAAAGCACTGCCACATTTTAACACGTTTTATTTTCCGCTGCTCTGATCTATAAGCTATAGATCTATAAGCTGCTCAAGTGTGTTTGATTTTCATTCATTTGGGCGTATATCATTGTGCAGTAAACATTGGCCATGATCCATATTTTTAAACCTTCAGTTCTTGAAATACCCTGCATTGTTCCTCCTTAACTGTGTTGAGCAACATCTTTGCTTTTTGAATTAAATAAGAAAGCAGCTTTAAAGTGTGGTTTCCTTTAGTAGCAGAGAGAGTCAAGGTTTGACATCCAAGGTTCATCACTGCCACCATTACATGCTGAGTGGTTAACAAGTATGCTGCACTCCATGTTTGACATTTTGGAAAATGAAAAGCTTTGCAAAGTCTCGGCATACATCCGATGTATGCTATTGGTCATTAAATAATTTTTGCAATTAAACAAAAGAAAACTGCCAGCCAAGGTAAAACATTAATTCCAAATTTGTAGCAAACACCATTGCTGCTGGGTGTTGCCATCAAGTTAAGCACAATGAATGAAATAAATCTCCACTAATGCTGACACATTATTCTATCCACGATTATGGTTCTTCTATCAACGTTGCAAATACTCTTTAAATTACATTGCTGCCTTAATGATTACAAACTTATAATTAGGCTAAGCCTATCTCCTGCCATAAAAAACAAAAACAACATAAACTGTTTACATGCCACATTTTTAAAAATATTTCCTGCAACCTAAATTCTTGAAGTAAATGTGAGTTAATAACCAAACAAGAATTGATCCAGTCATGATCCATTACATATAGCAGTGACAAAAACACAAATAAACATGGCAGCGCAGGTGGGCATACCTGTAGCTGCTGCTATTTTTCTTTTTCTATTTTTATTTTCTATCTTATTTTTGTCACTCTGCAGAATTTCGCCTTTGAAAGAGAAACAGCAAAAGTGTAAAAGCGTAATAATTGTGTTTTCTGATGGTGTCTGCTGTTCCATTTGTTGGTGTGATTGGTTCAAACCAAATTGTGGGAGGCAGGAACTTGTGTTGCTTCAACTTTTGGTCTATCAATAATGTATGAAAACCTAACTTGAGTGCAATAAAAATAAAAATCTG